TTTGTCGAGTGCTGCAGCGTTGGGAGAGAAGGGCGAAGTAAAGGTTGGGGGTTGTGGAAGAGTGTTGGGAGAGAAGGGCGAAGTAGAGGTTGGGGGTTGGGGGTTGGGGGTTGTGGAGGATGGATTGGGGGATGAATTGGATGTTTTCCACCATGGTTGCAATTTGATTTAAAAGTTTAACTTTTTTAAATATAAAAGTCAGGTCAACAACAGTACTGTGTCACGTCAGTATCATTTGGTCGTCTCAGCAATCCACGTATCAATTTCTTTAACGCCGTCCAGCCAACTTAACGGGAAGGTCTCAATTGATTTAAATTTTCAAAATTAAGGACCATTTTGACACACTTTAGAAAACGAGGACCTATATGGACATTCCTGCACAAATAGGGATGTCGAAAAGGATTAAACCTAAATTATATTAATGAAAATAAATCTACCCAATAACTAAATTTTAAAATGAAAACATAGGAGCGTAGAGAGGTTTAAAGCTTTGTTCACTTGAATGGATTTGGAGAGAGTGATTGAGGGGATTTAAAGGTAAATTTTTGTTGTTGTTTATTTGAGAGGATTTGAAGGTAAATTTTTTTGTTATTTATTTGAGTGGATTTGGAAGTAAATGAGAGTGAATTTGAAAGTAAAGTTTGTGAGAATTAGTGCAGGATATAATTGATGTGACAAATTAAAAAAATTTACTTCTAAATCCACTCTCATTTACCTCCAAATCCACTCAAATAAACAACAACAAAATTTACCTTTAAATTCTCTCAAATCCCCTCAATCATTCTCTCCCAAATTCATTCAAGTGAACAAAGCATAAGTGTTTTTTGTTATAGATTTTTTAGAATATTTTAGTCATCTATAAGGTAAAAGAAAAGCTAACTACAATTTTTTCATGTGGTTAATGTTGTGATAAATTATACTGGTTTGAAATTGATTGTTTGGCATGTTGAAATTATTATATGTTTCTTGTATTTTGGTTGTTTTAATATTGAGTTCAGGAATTGAGAATCTAGTCATTTAAGTAAATTGTTAATCGTTATAACATCTAAATTTGTTTTTGAATCATGTACTGAGTCAAGAATACCAATTTGATTATCTGAATAAGTCTTTAGTTCCCCAAATCACATAACTGAATGTGCAGGTTTTTGATAAAGAGAGATACTAGTATGGCAATGAGAGCAGGCTTGGCTATGAAGGTCTGAAAGCATTTTTGCTCTAGAACACTGAGTGCTACTCTTTCACGATGAGCGACCATTTTTGCGAATGGTCTGACATTGAGTGGCGGTTTTCTACCATTGAGTGTTAGTTACCACTATAAGTCTAGAACCCTTTTAATGTTTTTCATTAAGCAACATGTTGTTTGCTCTAAGCGAGAGATAATGCAAGAGCGCTAGTGCTGAGTGCCCGTCTAAGCCCTAATGTGGTTTTTTGTGTTTTCTAATTCTTTGTCGGTTTGAAGTACTTTATTTAGATTATGTGCATGATTATTATATATTTGAGATGAATTATGATGCTTATGCATGCTTGATATGTGTAATGTTGTTTCTATGGATGACTTGTGATGTTTTTGAGAGAATTTCAATTTAAAATTTTGTGATGTGATAAAGTTAGTGTATGTTTTGACATATGGGAGTTCCTAAAGTGGTGTATCTTGAACTCTAATAACTATTCACACTCAAATAAAATAGAATGAGTTATGTAGTGAGAGTCGCAAAATGTCCTAGTTTATCGTGAGTAGTAGCTTCATAATCTTCTTTGTTTAAGACTTTGCAGAGTATAAATATTATTATGTGTACACACCTACATTAATACATATGTCAAAATATGGATCCAGATAATTCAGTCTAAAGTCAATTATTTATATGCATTAATATGAGTTATGTTTTATAAATATTTAGATTAAATCTTTTTGTACATTAGATTTTCATCTGTCTTTTCTGTTTGCTATGATCAGTATAAAGTGAAAGATGCTTCTGCTTTGAATTTGTTTTGTCTTGTATAATTCTTTTTATTTTGAAAATTTATAGTGTATGTTGGAGTGTTTATGTATAAACATTCTATATAATGAGTATATGTTACGTGGATGACTATAATATAATATTTGTATTTATGTTTTATGTTCTTGATTGATTATCATCTATATAACCTTCATTTTATTAATTGTTCACTCTTAGAGTCAGGTGTTATCACACAACCTATTTCCTACTAATAAAGATGATTGGTTTTATAACGGTTTTACTATTGTATTTTTATATACTATTTCATTATGGAACTAAACCTCATCAACAATAATCATTTTATTTATATTTTACATCTAATATTTATATTTATAATTCAATTAAATATATATAAAAACTAATTGTAATAAAATTATAAAATTTATTTATCTTAGATGTTATCTTTAATAATTATGATAAAAAAATACCTTTTATCATCATAATAAAAAAATAATTAAATAGAGAATTTTTTTATTAGTTATAATAAAATAAATAAAATTATGATATTTTATTTTTCATTCTTTTAAATCTATTCTCCAATCCAAACACACATATGTAGTAATTAACTAGTAAATAACACATGTAGTAATTAACTAGTAAATAATGTTTAATATTTATAATGAAATTTTTAATATAAATATTAAACATATAATTAATGAATACTATATTAATATGTTAACATTTTAATTTTTAATGAGTAATTAATTAGCATTAATTAGGATCTTTCATATTTAATTAATATAACATACTAGGTATTAGCACCATAATGAAAAATAATATACATATTGTTTTATTTATATATACCTAGCGTTAATTAGTTTATCAACACCTATACTTATAATATTAATACAGCACAGAAGAGTATACATTAATACATTGACTAAGTTGTTCGATATATATATTAAATGCATTTACTTATATTTGTAGACATATTTTACATAAATGCAGTATATTGGTACTTTCAATTTATTATATAACAGTCATTAACTCTGGCGAATGAAGAGGTAATACATTATCATGAAGTTGGTGAAGAGAGTTTAACGAAGGTTCTTGGAGTTTTGTGTGATGCTTGGTGTGAAACATTATGGAGATAGGACTTCGAACTACATGTTTTTCATTTGACGATTCTAATTTCAGATGTGACAAATACATTCATTTGACATTGTCATTGTGATTCTCACGTTTGTTTGAAGGGAAATCACTGTTCACGTTATTGGCAACCTGAATTTGAAAAACGAGCATTGTTCTCTTGCGATGATTTATGACAATTTAGGACGATAGAATAATGCTGATTTGCGAGATAGCATTGTTAAACTCATCTCGCTAATGTATGAGGATTTACTCTGATTTAATATACAATAACTCATGTGCCCTGTACGGATATGAAGATGACCAAACGTGGAAGGAGCACGGGTTGAAGAAGTGATCTTCATGACTAGGTATTCGGTTGGAAGAAGAGGGTATCCGGTTCGAGTTTTTGGAAGGAGTTTGACGTATTCGGTTACAAGGACGGCGGTTACACGTTCTCGAAGAACTTCCATGGGAGGCGGCTACACATCCCGTATCCGGTTCCAGCTTCTCCAAGAAGTTCCAAGCGACGTTACACAGTCTGCTATCCGGTTGCAGGTTGTCCAACAACAGTCCGGTATCCGGTTCCAGGGAAGGTGTGCGCGTGTGTAATCGGTTGTGGTGTGTGTATTAATTGGACTTCCATAGCTCCAGCGTTGGAGAGCTCCACCATGTTAACCTTCGTGCATGAAAGGGATGGTGGCTTTGGGGTTGACGACAACGGCGCAGATGATGGAGGCCGGTTCGTACCACTACCATTGGAGGCGGACCCCTACGCAGTCATCAGATGAAGAAGGGGAGGAGGGAGAGGAGGGAGATGTCTGCCATGGAGAACAAGATGAAGGTTTGTTTGGTGGAGGAGAGAGGTTTATGGGGATGGACGTGGAGAGGAGGTAGACGACGGTGCAGTGGAGGTTTGACAGCAAACGATTTTCAGATAGAATAACAGACCACAGTAATGCAGATGTTGCCGTTGATTCATACCACCGCTACAAGGTACTTTCTTTCTCATAATTTTGAACTTAGAAATCTAGTTCTAGAGGAATTTCCTTAGCTTGGCGAGATTTTATTTCATCTAGAATGATGATTTTGTTTTTTTACATGTGATTTTTTTTTCAGGGAGATGTGGCTATGATGAAGGATATTGGATTCAATGCCTACAGGTTCTCCATCTCTTGGCCAAGAATACTACCTCGTGAGAAACTATAATTATCTCTTTTATTGTTTTGGTATAGCAAAATGCTAATTTGAATCATGAGTTTGCATGATTTTGAGGGAATATATGTTGAATCACACATAATGGTTAGTAGAGCTTTGTATAGTTTTTGCATAATGCAGTTAAGTTTAAACTACCTTGATTTTAGATGGAAACTTGCAGGGAGGAGTTAACCAATTAGAGTTAACACTATTTACAAATAATTGAACATTATTTTTCACAAAGCATATGAGAAATTAATATTTTGCAGGCAGCCTCAGATTGGCTCTATGTCTATCCACCAGGAATTCAAGGTCTACTAGAATACACCAAGGAGAAATTCAACAACCCTGTTATTTACATAACAGAAAATGAAATAAATGACGTTAATTTTATAAGAATAAATTAGATTTTAAATTAAGTTAACTTTTGTAAGGATATATTATACTCAAGATCATCTCAAATTAATTTTGTAAGAAGGATTAGACTTAAAACCACCTTGTAAAAACTAATACTAATCAATGTTTCTAATTAACCACCACAGAACTCTCTTTGTCCAACAATTAATGCAGTTTTAGGTTCTTTCATATGTATTAAAAATACACATAATAATAATAAATATATCTTTTTAAGATAGTTTGATCGTCTCTTTTGTTTTAAATAAATACATTATTTTTACTGAGACATGGAGAATAGTTAATTTAAGGATAAATTAATAATGAAAAATAATGTTTAATAAAAAACAAAGTAAAAATTAGTCAAATCGGAATATATTTTAGAGGATTTTGAAATTTATTTGTATTTGGGAGTGCACAAGCATTTGTTCTAGCGTGCCAACATAGATATTCTGAAACAAAGTTAAATATTATCATAGACTAAGTATTCAAAAATGAGCTTATCATAATCTGATTTATGTTTGGACAGTTTTCTAAAAAAGTAAATTAATTTATTTTGAAGACATCTTGTAACTTTCTTTAATTATTTGTTTGTTTAAAATTAATTATTTTTACTTCCGTAATAAATAAATTGGTACTAATTAATAGTAAATTATATAAACAAATACTACATTTAAAAATAAATTCATTTTACTACATTTTACTACATTGTAATTTTATAATTTTTAAAAATTATTTTTACAATTAAATATAATATTAATAAATAATATTTTATATTACTTTAATAACTAGGTACATTTTGGTAATCTTCCATTTTTATCAATTAAACTAATTTTTTAAATTTATCATATCAATCAAACTTTACATTAATTCTTACAAATTTTATTTTCAAATTCACTCTCAATTACCCACAAATCTACTTAAAAAAAACAACTAAAAAAATACTTTTAAATTCACTCTTATCCATAATAACAAAGCCTAAATTTTAAAATGGTGCAGCGTGATTATTTGACATTGGAGGTTAAATTCGTAAACTTCCTTATTTGAAACATTTAATTTGTTTCGAAGGTTTTCTCTCTTTTCCATAGTTCTTTTGCAGACGGTACTTTTAGTGAGTGCTTGTGTGTGAAGGTTTTCGATCATGGTGGTTGTGCATGTTTTCTTTCTTCGGTGAAGGTTATCCATTACTTTCTTCTTCGTCTTTGGTTATTCATTCTTTTCGTTAAAGAAGCACAAACCGTAGGTGAAGGAAAAAGGAGATTTTTGGTACGGCGGCAAGGATCATGAAGAAGGTCCAATTCCAGGTATGGGGGAAGCTAACTTGAACTGGTTTGTTTAAGTTGTGTTAATATTTGATGAATCTATAAACATATGTTTCTCTTAGGGTTATGAATATACTATTGTTTGCCACGTTTAGTTGTTTTATTAATACAACGTCTTTAACGAATAATTTGTAAATAATTTGAGTTTTGAGATGTGTTAACTTTAGTGAGTTTTAAGATGCGATGACTTTAGCAAAGGTCATCCTTTCTTGAAGACTTTTGGGAATAGGACTAGGATTTGGAACCAGAGAAGTTGATAAGTGATTGTTAGAATTACTGAAATTCCCTTGATTCCACGTTTTAGACTTTTGATTCCTTGGTCACTTCTTGTTCATGTTTCAAACCAGCTTGAAGTTGGCTTATTTGGCTTTCTAGTCTTCCAATTTCACTCTCAACCATCAATGGCTCTCCTAAGAGTTCTGTCATCTGAACGAATTGCATAATTAATTCCTAAACCAAGGTCATGAATAAAGCCAAACAAAAAACAACTATGAAATACTTTAAGAAATGTTGGTTGATCTTATTTTTTGGTTTAATGAGATCAATTCAAACACTTTATGGAGTTGTTTAATAACCTCAATTACTATATTAGTAATTACTATCTTTTATAATGCAAATGAACAGAAAGGCAGGCTTAACAGAGCATGTTCTTGAAAAATGTATTTGTAGAGGGAAGCATTAATTTTCATGGACAAGTGCCTTTTTGAAAACATATTCTATTTATTTTGCCTTTTTCACGCAGTTGGCTTCTTTTTTCCTTTTTTCACCTTTCCTTGTGGTGGCATTTTGGGAGAACTATTTTCCAAATCTGACTAAAAAAACCAATAATAAGTGAAGGAAGTGGTGCTATTAAGCTTTTTTTTAGTGCATGGGAACATAAATTATGTCACTGGACTTCATTGATGGAAAATTAGTAATATGTCCTCACTATACAAATGTAGATTATAATGTTTTTATATCTTAGCCAAACACCTTAAGAAATAGAAGAATGTGAAGTGAAAAACTAATTATTGCACCAATAAATCTGACTACTTATATCCTTCTTAAGCATTTTCTTGTTGTACATAACGATTGTCACAATAAACCACATAAGATGAAATGGATAACCACATACTGCACCAAAAAATGAAACCACTTCAAATCATGTTTCTTTTATATTAAATATTCTTAACTGATGACCTACAATTTGTTTCATATCATAAATTATATATCCTTCTTTTAACCTTTTTGTTTTCCTATGTCTTCTTTTCCAATTACCACTATTTATTTATCTGAACTTATATGCAAATGTCATATTGTATACTTATGGATGGCCTAACTAAGGCAGGAAAAATACATGAAGCCAAACTAATCTTTGATGAAATGAAGAAAAACCATGTCAGATAAGGTAAGTTGTATTCAATGAAATGATTTGACATAATAAACATCCATATAAATATCTGGTTATTCTAAGCTATTGGTTATTTCTCACATGTGCAGATGGCTATGCTCATAGTATCATGATATCAGCATTATGTCGAGCCAATCTTTTTCGGAAAGAAAAACAGTTAAGCAAGGATTTTGAAACCACCTCTAATAAATATGATCTAGTTATGCTGAACTCAATGTTGTGTGATTTCTTTAGAGTAGGTGAAATGGAAAGTGTAATGGAAACTCTAAAAAAGTGGATGAACTGGAAACCAATCCTAACTACAATACCTTTCATATTCTATTAAAATATTTCTGCAGAGAAAAAATGTATCTATTAGCTTATCAAACCATGAAGGACATGCATGGTAAAGGCCATCAACCAGGAGAGGTATAGCGTCTTATCCAAGTACTAATATGGAATACCTTGTATTATTGAACTTGGTCTTCCTCATTATGTGACTAAAATTTGTCCTTTTAATTTTATCATGTGTATACATTTTTTTGGATCTTTGTGGTGTGACAAGGCTAGTACCTTGTTACATAAAGGTCATAGGTTCAAATCCTATAAGCAACCTCTCTGCTAGTGGGGTTAAGGTTGTATGCAAGTGTTCACCCTAGACCCTACTGGGTGGATGACTTATGCTCTAGTTTTCACTTTTTTACAAAAATTGTTTGGACCCTGGTTAGGGATTTCACATTTTTATTCAAAACCTGAACGTCATATAGAGGGGGCCAGTCTTTCTTCTCTGCCAATATATGAGCTGCATCTTTGAATGGCTTCAATGCATGAATCTCATTAAACATCCATAGGAAAATCATCTATAAAAGCAAAAAGAACATGGTAAGCATCTTCTCCTTGTAATAGGAAAGCAAACATAATGAGTAGATTAACATTCAATTTACTTATGAAGGAAATGCAATGTCATGCACGATGTTCCACATCCAAATATAATTCTAATTCTAACCAAATCTTTTCATTCAATGAATGTTAAGAATGCATATATATTGGTGGCAATTGATAATTACAGATGAACTAAAGGCTTGAATTACTTATTCTAGAGTTTTTTCTTTCATGGAAGAATCAAAACAAGATGCACAATATCATTTTAATCATATCACTGGTCATTGTGAAATCTCTAATATACATCAGCATTAGTCTCTCAATAACATCAGTTTAATATTAGTTAAGTAATTAAAGATAAAAAAAGAGAGATTCTTTACACCCTACCTCTTCTGTAAAAAAAAGCACAGGGAGTCCTTCTTTGGTAGCTCTAATGGTAGCTCTAATTGCATCAAACATGTCTTCAACTTCACTCCTTATACTATTGGCATACCATTTACTAGCATAACCCTGCAGAGAGATCGAGGGACCAAAGTTGAAGGAGAAGCATGGATAATGCATAAACAAGGAACCAAAAATAATAATACCTGACAATAGATGGATTCATGCATAAGAGCATAGAGTGGATTGGTATCAAAAGATAACCACTTCTCAAACTGTAGAGTGAAAATTGGCATTAGATATTCGGAAGGAAACTTGAAATTATGTAGTGCAACCCATGATTCATCTTTGCAGGGCTGCAATTTAATATTCAGAGGAAACAGTTAGCTCAACATGATGATGATGAAGGAATTAGATGGTCAGATCAACAAGTTCTTTCCTTTTTAGCTTCTAGGATGAACAAATTTGGGCAAGGAGAGGGCTTCGCCAGTATTGCTGCTATAAAAATACAAAATAGGTTTTGGGGGTGGAAGAAGAGAAAAGAATTCTTGATCATTCATCAGAAAAGAGTTAAAATCCAGGCCCATGTAAGTGGTCACCAGGTCAGAAGGAAATATAGAAGAATCATGGGGTCCATGGGAATTCTGGAAAACAAGCAACTCTTAAAGGAGTCAACAATTCTTTCATATAGACCACCATCCAAGCCTCCAGACCTGAATTGGAGGCAGCAACCAGTGGGTTCCCTTCCTATGATGAAGATGAGCCATGGGAACAAGCATTACTGTACCAACCTTGAGGACAAGGTTGTTTTGCAGCAGGGTGTAATGATAGGATTTAATATGATAGGTTATAATGGGTATTAGGTGTGCAGGAGAGAGAAAACAATTGAAGAATTAATTGTTCAGTTTAGGAATTAATTGTTGTTGGGTAGTTAGAAGTGGGCTGCCTTTATAAGAAGGCAAGGGAGGGCTGGTAGAGGAAGAGTTTTTTGATATCAATTGTATAGACAGGAACCTTGATCCTGGAGGGGGATTATGCTCCCAGTTACTGGTTGTACATGACATTGGTTGATGTGAATACATATTTTCATTCTTTTCTTACCATTTGGGTGTTATTGGTGAGTGTGTGCTGTGAGACAGTTAGGATTCATACCCAGAAATCTAACAATTTGGTCCGACCTGCCGGATCAAAGTGGGGGTGAAGGATCAAGAAGCTACTCCGCTTAGGAGGGGACTGCCGGATCAAGAAGGGATCAAGAAGTGATCAAGAAAGGGTGGAAGCATGGAAGGAAGAGACAATACCTTGGAGAGAAGGGTCAGTGAACAGAAAATGGGGATGGCAGAATGGAGGAGAGATATCCAAGAAATAAAAGAAATGTTACAGGAAATCAAGATTCACATAATGGGCTCAGAAAGAAGTGAGAAAGCTATCATGAGAGGAAAGAAAGATGGTTCAGAGGAAGAGCTGGAGGAAGACAGGGGCAAAGGGCAGCAGAATTGGAGGCAGCGGGTAGAATTGCCCAGGTTTGAGGGGTTGGACCCGTTGGGATCAAGTTGAGAAGTTTTTTGACACCCAAAATATCACAGAGAAGGAGAGGCTCAGGTTGGCTTACAGCTGCATGGAGGGAGGCACAATTTATTGGTTCAGGGCCTGGAAAAATAAAACCAAGAACCTTTCTTGGAAAGGGCTGAAAGAGGCATTGATAATGGGGTTCGGAAAAAGAGATAGAGGTTTTGTTTTTGAAAAGTTAGGCCAAACTGCAAAAATCACAGAAGCTGCTGATGAGAAAGTTGTTGGTGTTGCTGCCCAGGAAGTGGCAAAAGCTGCTCTTTCTGGGAAGGAAAGAGAAAGAGATATCAGTGCAGAAGACAAAAACTGTGATGGAGGCATTGTTTGTGTTGCTGCCCAGGAAGTGGCAGAAGCTGCCGTTTCTAGGAGAGATAGTGGGGTAGGTTGTGATGTGTATGATAAAACAGTGAAGAAGGGTGAAGACAGAGGAAAGAAAGCAGAATATGGTGGGAACAGGGTGAGTATGATGGCTGGAAATAAAGTAGAAGATGCAGTTGTCTTGAGTGGGGAAAAAATATGGTTGTCATAAACATATAAAACACTAGAAGACCAATGGCAGAGATATTTCTTTGCAGGGCTGCAATTTAACATTCAGAGGAAACAGTTAGCTCAACATGATGATGATGAAGGAATTAGATGGTCAGATCAACAAGTTCTTTCCTTTTTAGCTTCTAGGATGAACAAATTTGGGCAAGGAGAGGGCTTCGCCAGTACTGCTGCTATAAAAATACAAAAAAGGTTTTGGGGGTGGAAGAAGAGAAAAGAATTCTTGATCATTCATCAGAAAAGAGTTAAAATCCAGGCCCATGTAAGTGGTCACCAGGTCAGAAGGCAATATAGAAGAATCATAGGGTCCATGGGAATTCTGGAAAAAAAGCAACTCTTAAAGGAGTCAACAATTCTTTCATATAGACCACCACCCAAGCCTCCAGACCTGAATTGGAGGCAGCAGCCAGTGGGTTCCCTTCCTATGATGAAGATGAGCCATGGGAACAAGCATTACTGTACCAACCTTGAGGACAAGGTTGTTTTGCAGCAGGGTGTAATGATAGGATTTAATATGATAGGTTATAATGGGTATTAGGTGTGCAGGAGAGAGAAAACAGTTGAAGAATTAATTGTTCAGTTTAGGAATTAATTGTTGTTGGGTAGTTAGAAGTGGGCTGCCTTTATAAGAAGGCAAGGGAGGGTCTGGTAGAGGAGGAGTTTTTGATATCAATTGTATAGACAGGAACCTTGATCCTGTGGAGGGGGATTATGCTCCCAGTTACTGGTTGTACATGACATTGGTTGATGTGAATACATATTTTCATTCTTTTCTTACCATTTGGGTGCTATTGAGTGAGTGTGTGCTGTGAGACAGTTAGGTTTCATACCCAGAAACCTAACAATTTGGTCCGACCTGCCGGATCAAAGTGGGGGTGAAGGATCAAGAAGCTGCTTCGCTTAGGAGGGGACTGCCGGATCAAGAAGGGATCAAGAAGTGATCAAGAAGTGATCAAGAAAGGGTGGAAGCATGGAAGGAAGAGACAATACCTTGGAGAGAAGGGTCAGTGAACAGAAAATGGGGATGGCAGAATGGAGGAGAGATATCCAAGAAATAAAAGAAATGTTACAGGAAATCAAGATTCACATAATGGGCTCAGAAAGAAGTGAGAAAGCTATCATGAGAGGAAAGAAAGATGGTTCAGAGGAAGAGCTGGAGGAAGACAGGGGCAAAGGGCAGCAGAATTGGAGGCAGCGGGTAGAATTGCCCAGGTTTGAGGGGTTGGACCCGTTGGGATCGATCTCTCAAGTTGAGAAGTTTTTTGACACCCAAAATATCACAGAGAAGGAGAGGCTCAGGTTGGCTTACAGCTGCATGGAGGGAGGCACAATTTATTGGTTCAGGGCCTGGAAAAATAAAACCAAGAACCTTTCTTGGAAAGGGCTGAAAGAGGCATTGATAATGGGGTTCGGAAAAAGAGATAGAGGTTTTGTTTTTGAAAAGTTAGGCCAAACTGCAAAAATCACAGAAGCTGCTGATGAGAAAGTTGTTGGTGTTGCTGCCCAGGAAGTGGCAAAAGCTGCTCTTTCTGGGAAGGAAAGAGAAAGAGATATCAGTGCAGAAGACAAAAACTGTGATGGAGGCATTGTTTGTGTTGCTGCCCAGGAAGTGGCAGAAGCTGCCGTTTCTAGGAGAGATAGTGGGGTAGGTTGTGATGTGTATGATAAAACAGTGAAGAAGGGTGAAGACAGAGGAAAGAAAGCAGAATATGGTGGGAACAGGGTGAGTATGATGGCTGGAAATAAAGTAGAAGATGCAGCTGTCTTGAGTGGGGAAAAAATATGGTTGTCACAAACATATAAAACACTAGAAGACCAATGGCAGAGATATTTCTTTGCAGGGCTGCAATTTAACATTCAGAGGAAACAGTTAGCTCAACATGATGATGATGAAGGAATTAGATGGTCAGATCAACAAGTTCTTTCCTTTTTAGCTTCTAGGATGAACAAATTTGGGCAAGGAGAGGGCTTCGCCAGTACTGCTGCTATAAAAATACAAAAAAGGTTTTGGGGGTGGAAGAAGAGAAAAGAATTCTTGATCATTCATCAGAAAAGAGTTAAAATCCAGGCCCATGTAAGTGGTCACCAGGTCAGAAGGCAATATAGAAGAATCATAGGGTCCATGGGAATTCTGGAAAAAAAGCAACTGTTAAAGGAGTCAACAATTCTTTCATATAGACCACCACCCAAGCCTCCAGACCTGAATTGGAGGCAGCAGCCAGTGGGTTCCCTTCCTATGATGAAGATGAGCCATGGGAACAAGCATTATTGTACCAACCTTGAGGACAAGGTTGTTTTGCAGCAGGGTGTAATGATAGGATTTAATATGATAGGTTATAATGGGTATTAGGTGTGCAGGAGAGAGAAAACAGTTGAAGAATTAATTGTTCAGTTTAGGAATTAATTGTTGTTGGGTAGTTAGAAGTGGGCTGCCTTTATAAGAAGGCAAGGGAGGGTCTGGTAGAGGGGGAGTTTTTGATATCAATTGTATAGACAGGAACCTTGATCCTGGAGGGGGATTATGCTCCCAGTTACTGGTTGTACATGACATTGGTTGATGTGAATACATATTTTCATTCTTTTCTTACCATTTGGGTGCTATTGGTGAGTGTGTGCTGTGAGACAGTTAGGTTTCATACCCAGAAACCTAACAATTTGGTCCGACCTGCCGGATCAAAGTGGGGGTGAAGGATCAAGAAGCTGCTCCGCTTAGGAGGGGACTGCCGGATCAAGAAGGGATCAAGAAGTGATCAAGAAGTGATCAAGAAAGGGTGGAAGCATGGAAGGAAGAGACAATACCTTGGAGAGAAGGGTCAGTGAACAGAAAATGGGGATGGCAGAATGGAGGAGAGATATCCAAGAAATAAAAGAAATGTTACAGGAAATCAAGATTCACATAATGGGCTCAGAAAGAAGTGAGAAAGCTATCATGAGAGGAAAGAAAGATGGTTCAGAGGAAGAGCTGGAGGAAGACAGGGGCAAAGGGCAGCAGAATTGGAGGCAGCGGGTAGAATTGCCCAGGTTTGAGGGGTTGGACCCGTTGGGATCGATCTCTCAAGTTGAGAAGTTTTTTGACACCCAAAATATCACAGAGAAGGAGAGGCTCAGGTTGGCTTACAGCTGCATGGAGGGAGGCACAATTTATTGGTTCAGGGCCTGGAAAAATAAAACCAAGAACCTTTCTTGGAAAGGGCTGAAAGAGGCATTGATAATGGGGTTCGGAAAAAGAGATAGAGGTTTTGTTTTTGAAAAGTTAGGCCAAACTGCAAAAATCACAGA